AACATTCTTCCACTTTGCACATTTTTCTTTGCCAATGTGCTCTGTATGGTAACCTGGGTTTGCTATGATGTTGAAATTTGTGTCATGGGGATATCAAATACCATAATGATTTCCCATTGTGGACAGTGTTTGATGGAACACCCAGTTGTAAAAGAGGTTTGGAAGCAGGAGTGGCATCCACTTCCTAAACCACATGCCTCTGGAAACTCTATGAACTTGGAGAAACAATGATAGCTAAGGAAAAGCATTAGGTCTTTTGTTCAGAGTCACTATGAATTGACCTTGACTGGATGGCAATCAACAACAACAACATGGTCAGAGTATGAGACATACCTTACCATCTTTGCTTCCACAGAGCACTCTGGTTGCACTTTTCTCCAGAACATACTTGTTTGTTCTTTTGGAAGTCCATGGAATATTCAGCACTGTTGTTGTGTGCTGTCAAGTCAACTGTGACTAATAGCATCCCTGTGAACAGTGGTTCTGAACCTTACCCTATTCTGAGCCAAACTCACCATCTCCAACCTCCTAATCCTATTGCCACAGACATAGTGTCAGTCCATCTCATTGAGTCTTCCTCTCTCTTGCTCACTCTCTACTCTTCCAGGCAGAATGTCTTTCTCTAAGAACTCATTCCTCCTGGCTGCATGTCTAAAGTATGGGAGAGGGAATTAAAACTCCTTGCCTCCACAGAGCAACTCGATTTCACCAGCTCCAGGACAGATCGGTTCTCTTGGTAGTCCATGGTATATTTAGTACTCCTCTGCAGCACCTCAACTCAAAGACATCGATGATTCTTCTGTCATCCTTATTAATTTTCTCTCAGATGCATAGCAAGCAGTTGAGAATATCATGATCTGAGTCAGGTGCACTTTGGTCTGTAGACTGACATTGTTGCAGCCCTAATAGTCATCAATACTAGCCATCCCCAACAACTTCTTGGGAACAAGGACCAATGGCTTTACCTTTTCTTTTTTAAAAGATTGTTGTTAAGTGCAATCAAACTGCCTACAACTCATGTGAATAGCACCTCATGTACAATAGCTCTGAACCCTGCCATATCCTGAGCCAGTCTCACTGTCTCTGACACACCTGCCCCCATAACCCCAGTTACTTTTTCAGTGTGTCTGTCTCATCCAGGGCCTTCCTCTTCTGTGCTGTCTGTTGTCCCTCAACCCTTCCAAGTCCTCTCCAAAGACTGGCCCCTCCTGGCCACATGCTCAAACTATGTGAGAAAGAGCTTCGAAATCCTTGCCTCCAAGGAGTAATTTGGTTTCACCCTTTCCAGGACAGACATGTTTGTTTCTTGGTGGTCTATAGTATGTTCAGTACTCTTCTCCAGCACCACAACTCAAAGACATCAATTCTTCTTCTGTCATCCTTAGTGTCCAGCTCTCTGATACAGAGCAAGTAATTGTGAAGATTGTGACCTGGATCAGGTGCACCTTAGTCTCTAGACTGACATTGTTGTTCTTCAATACTCTGGAGAGGTCCCTGACTGTATTTTTCTAGTGCAGTCAATTTTTTTATTTCCTGGAGGCTGGTGCAAAGAATATTGACTGTGGAACTGAGCAAGCTGAAACTGTTAACAATATTAATCTCTTCTCCATCTATCATGGTGCTGCCAATTGGCCCAATGATGAGAATCTTTGTTTTCTTGATGTTGAACCTCAATATATATTGAAGAGTACAGTCCTTGACCTTCTGCAGCAAACACTTCAGGTCATCCTCAGTTTTGGAAAGAAAGAATGCATTGTCTGTATAATGCAGATTGTTGATGAGTTTTCTTCCAGTCCTGATGCCACATTCCTCCTCATAAAGTCTGGCCTTTCAAAATGATCTTTTTCACATATAGATTGAAGAGGTAAGGAGAAAGGACACACCTTGACTTTTCTGATTTTGAACCGTGCACTGTTTCCTTGGTGTGTTCCAATGACTGCTTCCTGGTCCAAGTATAGATTTCATATGAGCGTAAGTAAATGTTCTGAGATTCCCATTCTTCTCAAGATCCGCCACAATTTATTGTGATCCACACAGTGAAATGCCTTTGCGTAGTCACTGAAACACGGATAGACATTTCTTTGGTACTCTGCTTTCAGCCAAATCCATCTGACATTGGCTACCATGTCCCTAGTTCCACGGTCTCTTTTAAACCAGCTTGCATTTTGCCAGTTCTCTGTCCATGTACTGTTCCAGTTATTTGAAAGGATAGATTGTTTATAGCCTCATAGTGATTATCACAGTATCACAGAATACATTAATTTATAGTAATGGTTTTCAAATTGTGGGGAAGGATCAGTGTTGTTTTTAATTTCCAACCTATCATGAATCAGTATTGTTTTAAAACATGAAATTGCTAGAAAAGAGATTAAGCATACATAAAGTTACTCTGTTAAATGACTTTAGAAGTTTCTAAATCCTCACAATTTCCATACTTGATTTTGTGAAAGCTGATAAAAAATTCATGGATAGGCATGCTCTGGGAAGCACTAAATAGCACTGGTTTATTGTCTGGGTAGTTTAATGCATCAAACAAACCTAAAAGGCTATAATATATTCAGTTCTTCCTCTACTCGTCCCAGATTTGCATTGATCCAGAGAGTACTTGGCTTTATGTTTTTAAATAAAAGCTGTGAGCATCTCCTTAGATGCTGAAAGGTTACCTGAAAAAATTCAGTTCATTTTTTATTATGGAAGAAGCACACATACAAATCGGTGGATCGTTAATTAATACAACATGTCTCTTCAGCGCAGATGGTGATACTGTGCTTAAGGGGAAATAGTACACACAGTAAAATTAAAATCAAGACAAGGATATCTTTTGGTGTAACTATTATATAATATTGTTATGGTTCTTAGCATGGAAGGATAAAACAAAACATCTCTCCGCCCTCCAGTCAATTCCTACTCAAGACCCTGTAGGGTAGAGTGGGAACAGATTACCACATCTTCTTCCTGTAGTGTATTGATCTTGGATAGGAAGAGATAAAGCTATCATTTTCTGTGATTGACATATCTGTATACCTGGAAATTTCATAAGAACTTGTTTAGAACCTCTATAAACAGTAGTGCTAATGTAAATAAAAAAGATATTAAACTGGCACTTACTACTTAGGAGCCAAACCAGTTTGTCAGATGACTAATCCCCAGAGTTCCTTTTGTTGTAGGATTGCATGCCATCTTGGGAAAGGAAAAAAAAGTGTTGATCTGCAAATTCAGTAGGTAATGGACATCCTAATATATGGTATTTGTCTAGCAAAGTTGTAATTCTCCTTGCGAAATTTAGAATCTTCAAGATGATCTTGAAATTTCTCTCCTTTCAACTTTGTATGATTGGCAGTGGGAGAGCTGGATCCTTTGGCAACCTACATTCTTTCCAGCCATGCCCAGCCCTACCACCCCTTTGTCTGGGGTCATTAAACTTTATGAGATGAAGTAATTTTCCTCAACAGATTTGTTGTGATGTGACATTCATAGTTCCTCTTTAAAAGTTCACTTTCAGTTTCAAATGTATAAACTACAGCCCTTTAGAAAATGTCATGGAAGACCAGAGTTTAATATTAACAAAATAGAGACTTGTTTACCTGTAAACAAACTTGAAAGAAATGGGAAAGATATATATGGGAAAAAAAATCTTTAAAATATTAATGATTTGATATACGAAGTCTTAACCAAGAAGAAAGGCAATCCAGGGTTTTGGCAAAAAATTACAACATCATAAAAATACTGATTCTCCAGAAGAATGGTATACTATGAACCGACAGAATTCATTTCTCCTTTTGCATGCCTTATTTCCCCTCTTTTCTCTCTTATTCAGTCATTATTGCTATCTAGTTGGAACTGGCTTATGGCTGACTCTTCTGTGGATTTTCTTCTTTTGTGATTGCTTGGGAGGAGATTACCTGCTTTTCTTCTGCAGAGAGCCTCTGGTGTATTGGAACTACCAGAATGGAGCTGCTGCTTTTCAGTTAGCAATGCAGTGCCCCAGGGACAGTGCCACCTTTACAACTTTAAAAAATAATATTATCTTTATCTTTTTTACTTGATTACCAGTTTCAGATGATCTTTTTAGACAGTAATAAGTGATTAGCAAATCTGTCTAAAAATAGTAGTGATATTAATGGAGATATTAATAATTAGCATTGAGTATGTATGGGGAGCTCTGGTGGCTTGATGGTAAGGAGTTACACTGCCAACCCAAGGGCACGTGGTGCAAATTCACTAGCTGCTCCACTAAAGGAAGATGGACACTGTCCTCCCTTGTGATTAAATTCCCTCTGAAAAGCTGTGAGTTGGTTCTGACTTGACTAGTACACAACAACAACATGTACCATGTAAGGAACTCTGGGTTGGCATAGTGGGTAGGAACTTTGCTGCTCACTGCTGAAAGTTGTGTAATTTGAATTCACCAGCAGCTTCTTAGGAGAAAAGTCTTGGAAATCCATGTCCATAAAGATTTACAGCCTAGAAAACCCTATGGGGAAGTGCTGCTCGGTCAGAGGCAGTCATTGTGAGTTAACTGAGTGGCACACAGCGAAAGCCACAATATGTACCATGCATCAAATACTGCTTTAAACCCTTTAAAAATATATTAACATTTAATTTTCAACTCTGATGTAGGTACTAAACTTAACAGTGCTTGAACTACCTGCTAGTTTCCTGACTTTTGTTAGCTTTAACATTTCTGTAGTGACCATAACAGTGGACTTGAGAAAAGTGATGATTGTGACTGTGGGACATGATAGGGCAAGTTTCCAATGTGTTATTCTTGTCATGGCTGGATGACACCTAACAACAACAATGCATGTGGCATCAGATTGTCTTATTTTGGTGTCTGCCATACTCCTACTGGGCAGCCTTCCTCAAATGTAGACCTATAAATATCATCCAATTTTTGTACAAAAGGAGTTACATAGTAATTGTTAAAGGGGAAATGGGGAATTGTCTTTATTCTGCTTTTTTAAAAAGTCTGAGTATCATATTAATGTGTTTGCCAACAGAATGATATGACAACTGCACGACTACGATGGGGAGATATGCTTTTGCCATTACTGAAAAAATACAAGTTAAACATCACATGGGGTGACCAAGATTTATTGAATATCATATTTTTTCATAATCCAGGTAATTTATTTTCTGTTACTTGTAAAAAATGACAAATAATATTTAGTCAGAAATTAAGAAATGCTGTTGGATTTTGGTATATAATATTTATTGTCATCTCTTTTTTTTTAAATTTTTATTGTATTATTTTTACGTGTACCGTCAAATCTGATCTGACTGGTACAGGAGGAGATTGCCCCCTCCTTCTCCAGCAGAGCATCTGGTGGATTTGAACCGTGTACCTCTGGGTTATTTTCATATGCTTTGATTGGAAGAGATCTAAATTCTGAGCATCATTAGTATTTTGACTCTTTTAAGTGTTGAGTTTTAAATGAACATTTTAACAAAGTGTTAATTTTGTGGGACTAAAGGAATTTGCTTTTTTTTTTTTTTTTTTACCTAGAAAGCCTCTTTGTTTTTCCATGTCATTGGAATTATCGACCAGATCATTGTATATATGGAAGCAATTGCCAAGAAGCAGAAGAAGAAGGAATCTTTATTCTTCATGGAAATAGAGGTGTTTACCATGATGAGAAGCAGCCAGCATTTAGAGCTGTTTATGAAGCACTCAGAAGTGTAAGCGTTTTCTTATTTTTATTTTGTGTTTTGCACTTTTGATTTGGAAGTGCTTTCAAACTGAGAACTTAAAAGAATGGTACAAAGAATTTCTATGTATCCTTTATGTAGAATCGTCAATTACTATAATTTGTAATATTTGTATTAATGATTATCAATATGTATACACCTTAGTCTTTTTTTCTTGACTTACTTAAATATAATTTGCATACTTCATGTCTTTGTACTTCTAAGAACTTTAGTCTCCTAAGAATGAGGATACTTTCTTAATTTTAGCACAATTAGCACCTTGAGAAATTCAATTATTAGTTTGTTTTTTTAAATAATTTATTTATGCAGATCCGATCCCCCCCCGCACACTTTCCTTCCTTGACATTATGTTTCATATAATCATTCCCATACATTGTGTTCTATAAATTAATCACTATTGGACTATTACCCTATCCTATCAGGTCCCCATAGGATCTTTCCCATTTCCTTCACCCCTTCCCTCCACCCACCGAAGTATGCAACCCTGTGATTTCCCCCCTACTCATTGTTCCCACTCTCCTTCCCCCGCCACCGTTCCCACCCCTTTCTTCCTTGGATCTCTACAAGTTTTACTAGTTATCTAGCATTACAATAATGGTCTTGTGTGGTATTTGTCCTTATGAGACTGAATTTGTTTACTCAGCATAATAATCTTCAGTCTCTTCCAAGTATTTTTAAAAATCATTGCTCCTAGGGAGCTCTGGTGGCCTAGTGCAAGAAGCTGCACTGCAATCCCGGAGGTTCAAATCTACCAAATACTCGGCTGGAGAACGAAGGGCAATCTCTTGTACCAGATCCAGTTTGATGGCACACACACACAAAATTATAAAATGAAAAAAAAATATATCATTGCTCCTGAGTGCTGTGACATGTATCACAGTTTTGAATGTTTTGGGCCGTTTCTATGTTCTTATGATGCTATGAGCATTAATGTACAAACTGTTGTTTGTATCTCAATTCTAATTTCGTGGGGGTATATTCCTAGTAGTGGAATTGCTGAATCTTACAGAATTTCTATCTTCAGCTTTTTGAAGAAAGGCCATACTGCCTTCAAGAGTGGTTGTACTATTTTACAATCCCACCAAAAGTGTATGAGAGGTCCCACCAATACACATCTTCTCCCACATTTATTGCTTGCTCTCCTGTTAAACTTTGCCACTGCTCCTGGGGTGAGATGGTATCTCATTGTGGTTTTGGTTTTCATCTCTCTTGTTGCTAGTGACTTTGAGCATTTCTTCATGTGTCTGTTGACCACCTGAATGTTTTCCTTTGTGAAAAATCTTTCCATGTCTTGTCCGTTTTGTAATTGGGGTTACCGGTCCTTTTTTCCAGAAGTCCCTGTGTCCCTGTTGTTGTTGTTGTTGTTGTTGTCTGCTATTGAGTCACTTGCAACTCTTAGCAATCCTATGTACAATAGTTCTGAACCCTTCTATATATTGAGGCAATTTCATTGTCTCTGATACACCTGCCCCCCTTATCCAAGTCACTGAGTTAATCCATCCAAAACAGGGTCTTCCTCTGTTGTACTGTCCTTCCACCCTTCTAATCATGATGTCCTCCTCCAAGGACTGGACCCTAAAAGTATGTGAGATGGAGCTTTAAAATCCTTGCCTATAAGGAGCAGCCTGGATTTGCCCTCTTCAGGACAGACCTGTTTATTCTCTTAGCAGTCCATGATATGTTTAATACTCTAGTGCTACACTTCAAAGGCATCAGTCCTCCTTCTTTCATCATTGTTCAGCTTTCTGATGCATAGCAAGTAAGTGTGAAGACCATGGCCCAGATAAGGCATACCTGAGTTTCCAGACTGACATTGTTGCTCTTCAGTATTCTCTAGAGGTCCTTGACAGCAGATTTTCGTAGTGCAATTCATCTTTTTATTTTCTGGCTGCTAATACGAAGACTGTTGATTGTGGAGCCCTGTAGTATTCTATAAACTTTTGTTATGAGACCCTTATCTGAGATGGTATCACCAGATGGTTTTTTTCCCAGTTGGTAGGTTTTCTTTTTACCCTTTTGGAAGAAGTTTTTTATGCACACAGGGATTTACTCTTTAGACAGTCCCATTCATCAATTTTATCCTCTCCAGATTGTACATTTCTGGCTCTATATGTCAGCCTTTTTTATACCGTATGCTAGGCCTTTTAAGCTTGGTCACAGTTTGTCTCTTATGAGCTTTATAGATTTAGGGTTTATCCCTGGCTAAATCCACCTTGAGTTAATTTTTGTGTATGGTGTGAGATGTGGATCCTATTTCAGCTTTCTGCAGGGAGCAGTCCAGTATTGCCAGTACCATTTGTTGAAGAGCTTCTCATTTCCTTATTTGATAAATTTTATTTCCTTGTTGAAATCAGACTATAGATGGATGAGTCCATCTTGATTCTGTTCCTTTGGTATGTGCCTTTTATTGTACCAGTACTATGCTGTTTCGGTTATTTTAGCTGTATAGTAGGTTTTAAGGTCAAGGAGTGCTATCCATCCCACTTCGTTTTTGTTTTTCAAAAGTGTTCTGCTTATACAAGGTCTCTTTCTTCTCCAAATAAACTAGACAGTTGCCTTTTTTTTTTTTTGACAGTTGCCTTTTTGATCTCCCTGAAAAATGAATTTGGTATTGGAATTGCATTGACTGTGTAGATTGCTTTTGGTAGGATTGTCATTTTCACTGTATTGAGTCTTCCTATCTGTAAACAACATTTTCCCACTTATTTAGGTTTTTTATTGTTTCTTGCAGAGGTGTTACATAGTTTTCTTTGTACAAGTCTTTTGTGTCCCAAATAAATATCTCAGTTTGTTGTCGGCTGTTGTAAATGGTATTCTTTCTTGATTTCATTCTCTGAGGGTTTTTTGGTTATTGTGGTAGAATCCCACTGACTTTTGTATATTGATCTTGTATCCTCCCACTCTTCAAAGTGAGAAATTTAATGGTGATACAACATTTGAATCTGCCAACCTCTAGGCTCCTTTATCTCCTATAGTCTCCTTCCTGCCATATTTCTATTCCTCTTTGATCTAGAATGGTTCCTTAGGTTTTATTTCTCTTTTTGGCATTAATAGTTTTTGTATAACAGAGTCCTTCTGTTCCACTTTGTCCTTTTTTTCTGCCTTGCCTGATATTTCCTTGTGATTCTTGTTAGTTTTCATTGAGTCAGGTATGACCCAAAGCAACCCTATGAACAACAGATTTGAACCCTGTCCCATTCTGTGCCATCCTCACTACCTCTGACATACTTGAGCCCTTTGCTGCAGTCATTTTGTCAGTCCAACTGTTTGAGGGTCTTTCTTTTCCTTTATCATCCCTTTTTAATCATGATGTCCTCTCCAGGGAATAGACTGTCCTAGCAATATGCCCAATGAATGTGAGACAAAGCTTTATCACCTTTGCTTACAAGGAGCACTCTGGCTGCACTTTCTCCAAGACATACCTGTTTGTTCTTTTGGCAGCCCATGGGCTATTTGGTTCTAATATCCAAGACCAGAGCACATCAATTATTCTTCTAGCATCCTTTTTAATTGTCCACCTGTCAGATGCATAGCAAGCAAGGGATGGAAAAGATTGTTGCCTGAATCAGGCACACTTTAGTCCTAAAACTGACATCATTGCTCTTCAGTATTTTGGAGAGATCCTTGAATGCAGACTTTCTCAATGCAGTGAATCCAAGTAAGGTGAAGGGGTTGACAGTTTCAGTATTCTTCATTTAAATTAATATTGCCTGCCTTTGAGCTGTGGTGCTGGAGAAGAGTATTGAGAATACCATGGACTGCTAGGAAAACAAACAGATTTGTCCTGGAAAGGGTTAAACCGGGTGGCTCCTTGGAGGCAAGGATTCTGAGGCTCCGTCTAACATACTTTGGACATGTTGTGAGGAGAGACCGGTCCTTGGAGAGGAACATCATGCTTGGGAGGGTGGAGGGACAGTGCAGGAGAGGAAGGCCCTCTATGAGGTGGATTGATTCAGTGACTGGGATAATTGGGATGGGAGTGTCAGAGACGGTGCGGTTGGCACAGGACAGAGCGGAGTTCAGGGTTGTTGTTCATAGGGTCGCTATGAGTCGCAGGCAACTCGACGGCACATAACAACAACAACATCAGTCCAGCAATGAGAATTTTTGTTTTCTTGACACTGAGATGCAGTCCATATTGAAGGCTATATTCATGGCTCTTCTGCAGCCACCACTTCAAGTCCCTATTTGTTCTCATTCCCAAGAAAGATGATACAACAGTATGTAGAAATTAGCAAACAATTATCATTAACATCACATGCAAGCAAAATATTGCTGAAAGTCAACCAAAAACAGCTATAAAAGGACATACAGAGAGGACTGCCAGTTCAGACTGGATTTAGAAGAGACTGTAACACCAAGGATATCATTGCTGGTGTCAGATGGATCCTGGCTGAAAGCAAAGAATGTCTATTTATACTTGATTGACTATGTAAAGGCATTTGACTGTATGAATCACAATAAATTGTGGTTAACATTTAACAGTTTGGGAATCCCAGAACACTTGTTTGTGTTCATATGAAACCTACACCTAGACTAAGAGGCCCTTGTACAAACAAAGCAAGGGAACACTGTATAGTTTAAAATTAGGAACAGTGTGTGTTAGGGTTGTATCAGTTCTCCATACTTATTTACTGTGTATGCTGAACAAATTATTTGAGAAGCTGAATTATATTGAGAAGAATATGGCATCAGAATCAAAGGAAGACTCATCAATAACATACGTTATGCAGATGACACAGCCTTGCTTGCTGAAAGTGAGGCAGACTTGAAGTGCTCATGGTTTGGTTAACATAAATTCCTGGTTAGGGTATCATATGAGTGATGTTGTGCATAGTCTCCTCTGTCTTTCTTACTGCTTATAGTGCGTTTAATCTCCTACTCAATATTCTATTTAATTTCTCTGTTGTTGTGTACCATCAAGTGAGAACTGATCTATAGCTGACCCTCCAGCGAGTTTTCAGAGGCAG